AGGGAGAGGGAGAGGGAGAGGGAGAGGGAGAGGGAGATGGAGAGGGAGAGGGAGTGTGCGGAGTTACAGTAGAGTGGAAAAAGGTAAACGACCACCTAAGCAGTGGTTTACCAAACCCAACATTGCACGAATCATGCCTTAAAAGGTACTAGTATTTCCCTTCATCGAGGAGCCACCACCATACCAGACAGAAGCAGTTCCTTTTGCCACTCATAGCGTGATTCACGAAATCACAGCCGGATAAACTTACAATCACAGTAAAAATCTTTGCAAAGTAAGTGGAAAGAAAAGTGCAGAATATTCAAATGCAGTGAAATTAATAAAAAAAAGCTATCTATTTAATGGTACAAAAATCCAAAAGGGGAATATAAAAATAGGTAGCCATAACTAGGATAAGAACAGGTCACAGTAAATGAACTTACACATCTGTTTACATGCAATCATTATTTTGATTAATGTAATATATATTTCACAAACTGTAAGTCATATTTTGAGGACGTGTTGCTTATAAATTAATAATCTTCAAACCTACTATTATGAAAAGAAAGTTTTGAAACATTGCAAGGCAATGTATTCGTTCAGTACTATTGTTGTATAATAATGTATGAAGAAATAATTAATTGTTGCTGATGATCTTCACAATTGATGCTACTGTAAATACACTGTGTTCGACTACTTTGTTTCGTGTAACCTTATTTTATAACAATTTAGTATATTATCTTAATGTTCTATAGAATAATCCTGCAAGTCGTTTTGGAAATGAATATATTAGAAGGCAGCTACGCGGGATCATCGTCGAAGTATCTCTACAGTCTTTTGTGCAAACTTGTTGAAAGGAAGCCGAAGGGTTCTTGGGTCTTTGTGTTCGGCATGCCACACCTTTATATTCAATACTTTTTTCCAGGACGCTGTTGCGTCTCAACACTGCAGAAGGCAACAGGTGAATCTTCCTTGATATTTCTAAGAGGATTGTTCAACCACTTCGAAGCGAAAGCTTTGAAGTTATTGACTCTTCATGTGAGAATATAATTTTGTCTCAAATTTTATTTTGTCTTCTCCGATTACTTATATATGCTGTTTACTTAAGTGTTAGTGGTTGATTAAAGGCTCACTATTATATCTCATAAACTAAAGATTGCAAAGCAACAGCGGATTGGTTGAACACAAAAAAATACTACAATAAAATGGAAAAAATATTCCTTCATCAAAAGTCACTTTGAAATACTTATTAACAATATACTTTCTTATTTAATTTTTTGATGAATTAGGTGAACTTTGATAAATTATTTACCAATGTGTAAACTTTAAATATTATTTTTAACACTGAAAATAAACTTCCCGCAAAGCAACTTTGCGAATTGTCTCTTATTCACTGCACTTTGTAAAGTGCTAGAATTCTGTTACTGCAACTTTTGAATTTTCTAAAATTGTACATCGATTTACTATTCAAAAGGCACCAGACCTCAGTGTCTTCAATTTTAATAGGCTCAGAAATGTCGTCCGTAACCTGCACTCGAACTAAGAATGAAATCTAATGTGTAGCAGGTCTTGTAATGTTTAATTATTAACCCTGAAGTCAATACAATCCCCTAAATCGTACTGCCAGAAAATATGACCAAATGTTAAAAAGGCGATCAAAAAATATAAAACGTTATGTATCACACATGGCCGTTATGCGCTCCTTAGTAATAATATACTCGCGTTATGGCGCTTGTAAATAATCGACCAACTTATACACAATGTTGTCCTTTAGCCACTTGCAAAATAAATTGTTAGTAATAGTCTGTTTTGAATATTCATGAATTTCATAATATTCAGGATTCACTTTAAGTGAATAAACAGACAGTGTTCATCATTATATCTAATCAAAAAAAAATTCTTTAGAACTTTTACATCAAAAGCGCAATTTTCATACAAAATAGTTTTGGTAATTTTCTAATTTCGTCGCCGGCTGTGTCACCGTAACTCAGTGCGCATTTCCAATATTCGAAGCGCTGCTGGAGGCTCGGAAGGTCATTTGATAATTTCCGAACAACAAGTGCAGTTCAATTCTGACGACTGGCTGGTGAGGTTAAGCGCGATTGCAGGGCCGTGTTTGTTTGTTCAGTGCTGGTGTAATATCCACCACCAAGAAATTTGCGTTTTACTTCATTTATATTGTAACGTTTATTAATGGTGAACATAGACGTTTATTTTGTTTCTTAATGTTATACTAAAAATACTTGATTTATGTACAGATTGTCTTCATAATCCTTGGGTTCTTCACTTGGTTATTTCCTTACACAACAACTCGCTTCTCTTTATTATTTATTTTCACTGTTACCTTCATTTACACTGTCACACACTCCGATGCACTCACCACTGCCCGATGCACTGACCACAGTCCACTGGGCTCATCATCACAGTTCACGGCGCTGACCACGGTCCACTGCGCTGCTGTTCACTGACTCACCGCGATGCACACTTCACAGCTCAGCTTCCACTTCGAACTGCCCTGCCGGCCGCTGGGCAGCGCATTTATACCTTACCAGCGCCCGCCTCGAAGGTCCTGGAACTTCTGGTTCGGGAGCCGCCGACAAATGATGAAATATTCTTTACATTATTTTTTTTAAATTGTTTGTTTGGAAATACAACTTAGAAGTCTTGGCGCGTCGACCCACATTCGTTGCCTGGGCGTTGTAGAAGAAGAGGAATTGTTAAAACATATTTTTTGAGTAAGGAGAATTTTTTAGCAAAATCATTTGAGAAATCGCGCTTTCATCTAATTCTAGAGATGTTAGTTGTGATATTCTTCTCGGCCCTGAGACATTAGACCTGTTAGTCTGTTGCGACTCGTTGATAACTCCATCTTCTTTTCGGTCTATCAATGCTTATTTTCCCTGAAGATGTGTGGAAGAGGAGTTGCGTCGATAAACGAATTATTTTCCATCTTTAATACATGGTATTTCTATTTCTATCTATATGTTTTGTTTTTTTCGTTTAGATTGTAAATTCCACGGTTCACCCGGATGGTCTCGTTTTTCAATCGACCTCTTCTTGTTACTCCTAGGATAGACCTCAAATATCTCAGCAGCTTTTATTCTGCTATAGTATTAACGTGCAGTACAGAGATCCCTTTTAGGCAAAATTACCACAAGTGGGTCGAAGAGTGGTGACCATGGAATCCAAATATACAAGTTTTCAAGGAACGTGTTTCTGATTTTATCTATCCAACGATTGTCTCTTATAAAATTAGAGACATATTTTTTACCATTCCGTTTTACATAAGTGGAGAAAATTTAAAGAGAAAAAGTGGAGCGAATTTTGAGATTTTTTAAAATTTCAATTGTAAAATTAGCAAAAACTATTTTTTGAAAAAAGTACATGTGCTTTTTTGAAGAGCTAACATTATACAATAGACTTTTTCTGAGACAAACATCTCTCTATATTTAATTTTTTTCCAATTTTCGAAAACTCGGGGAAATTAACGAAAACGAGATCTGCACTCTTCTCTATTTAAAACAAAATTTAATACAATTTGGAGCCATTTTTGAAAATTTTGAGAATGTCCCAGGGGCTTGATGGAAAGTACCCCCAAAATTAAAAATTCGTTTTCATTTTCCAGGGTCCGCGACATTAGCTAGAAGAGGAATATCGGGATAGAGAAAAATCAGTTTTGGAGAAAATCGGCTGCGCAAGCGTTGTGCACAGACGGACAAACAGACGTTTTGCCGCCAATCGATTTTTCGGTACGAAAGACCCACAAAACATGGATTCTGGTTACATCAAGTGATAGAGGATTTTTTTATATTTAGCAACTGGATTTATCCACTTTTTCCTTTCCTCGCCGTTTTACGGCGCACGATAATACTTCTCTTTTTGCATTAGTATCTGCGAGAAAGTATAAATTTTAAAAACAAGATTTTCTCAAAAACTGCTCAAACTAGTTTCTAAACACTTTTGGCCCTACTAAATGCACTCTATAAGATGACATAAACGACATATTGCTGTGTTCGTTTCTTTCTTCAAAAATTAAAAAAATGTGACTTTGTTATTTGTTTCTCACGTCTTTAATATTAATGCGGCAATTTGTTCACATTAATGTATATATGAGTTCATGTGCTTTTAATAATTTCAGGTAAAGTTTCTCGAAAACCCAACAGTTTTTTTGAGAAAATGAGCTCAAATTTCTGAATTTCAACATGGATTGAATTCAATTTCTTTGTGAAGCAGATCTCTGGAGACCGGCTGCTCTGAAAGGAAGTTTTCGTCTGTTCTCCGATCAATACCAGGCGAATGCCCGAGTAATGCTTTAAGAAGTGGTCATGGACCACGCGCAATCTTTCCTATCTTTTCTTTGTCCCGTCATCTCCACTTACATATGTCAGGTGTGACGTAGTGAAATAAGAAATAAATTTTAATAACAAAAGAAAAATAATATATTAAATATTATGTACAAGTTACAAGGAATTGCTAATATTAAAACACTCCGGCAACCTTTTCCTTTCAGAACACTGCTTTACCGCAGAAAATACAAGCCACGCGTGATGCGCGCTGTCGGACCTCCGTCCCGTGACAATTACCGTCACATGACCTGACGCCAAAATTTAACCCGGTCGTGGCGACCGTGTGCCTACAGCACGCGAGATCGTCTGGCCCTTACTCTCCGGACATCTCGCCCACACTCCTACACCCCTTGTACACACACGTACAAGCTTCCCGATGCAAACTGAATGAGAACGCGGGCGCAGATGGCGCCGCGTTAAATAGTTGAGGCTGACACCCCCACCACTGTTCCATAGATAGGCTCGCCGGCTGGCGTCCGCGAGGCTCGCTGGCCAGCAGCTTGGTTTACGCCCCCACACAGGATTCTCAGGTTGGCAACCACAAGCGAGGCTCACTGGCTAGCATCCTCGGAGTTTACAGCCTACGGTAGTTTTGGCTCTGCGGCTCTACCTGAGTCAACCGCCAGAGCGCAAACTCCCGGAAGTTCAGGCTCAACCCCTTCCTCCCCCGCAGCGTACTTTCACCGACCTAACGGTTCTGGCCCTCGTGTTAACGACGCCACACAGGAAACGAGACGGGACTTTAAGAGTTGGTTCCGGCTGGGCAAGGTACCTAGAGGAAGATATTCCCCAAAACTTGACGTAGGTTGGCGCCGGATCTCACCATGAACACCGCCACCTCCCACGATCAAAACATTCTCTACACTAACGGTGCTAATGAGCAAATCAGTTGGCGTGACCGATCCCTTCAATTATACAATCTGAAAAAGGTTTCTGTCGGAGCTAATATCGCTAGTTTCTTCCAGTCTTCCATGATGCTGTCGTGTTAGCTCAAAGACTTTAAATTTTTAACCAACTCTTCAGTTTTTACTTTGAAAACATTTGTGTATTTCGTGGCTAGTCTCACAACTGCCCTGTTTCTCTTTATAACTTCTCACGTGCCTGAAGTATGGTACGGGAGTTCATGTGCTCCGAGGTAATTTATGTATTGAACATACCGTACTTGTATTAGAACAACATTTCGTGGATCATTTTTTACAGCGTTGCGACAGTATTGTTGCCACTTTTGAAACATCAACACTTAAATTCCACATACACACATTCATCAACCAAACTACAAAAACAAAAACAACAATAATAATAATGATAATAATAAAGATAAATAATAGTAATAATAATAATAATAATAATAATAATAATAATAACAATAATAATAATAATAACCGAGCAAAGTGGCTCAGTGCGTAGCGCACACACTTCGCTGTCGGGAGGCCCGGGTTCGACCCCTGGGCCGGCTATCTTGACCGCGGTTTTCGTGGTTTCCCTTGGTCATACAGGTATGGTTAGAAAAGGGTCAAGTTTCGATTTTTTCTTCGAATCAAAAGTTCTGCATGAAGAATCTGAAAATATCCATTTTATTTGGAATTGAAATATTCTAATTTAACGCAGATGATTAACACTCACATTGGTACGTAATTAGAGGTTATGCTGGTAAAATATAAATGATCTCATAGATGCTTAATGCAATATTTTTTTAAATCATTAGAGTAACTATCAATCTTTTCGTCCTTTTTGAATTCTTACGATATTCATCAACACTTTCTAATAATCCACTTTTATTCCCCCTATTTGATTTCATTCGTCATATAGAAGTGGAAATGCTGTTTATTCTATTGCGCTCCGCTTGTGGATTGAAAGTCTGACCTCGGTTAGGCCTTCACAGGAGTTTGACTCTTATCTTTCGTAGCAATACGCCCGACTTCCATTTTCATTATCCAGTGACAACTCAAGCGATTTACATTTACATATTCTCGATACAACAAACGAGAGCATTTGCATTTTGTTCCCTTTGCTCCTGCTTTTCGTTAGCCCTTTCCCCAAAGTGTCTCCCGTCCACTGCAGAAAACGATTTGCATTTCACAGGAAATGCGCTTAGGAAATATCAGACGATGCGCGAGCGGTTCGCTTGTTAATATTTGGGATTAAAATGCTCGTTTATACACGTGTTTACGTCCATTTCAAAACGACTGCTGTTGACTGTGCCTGTCCTCAAAATTCTATAGCTTGTTTGTTTCATTATTTGTAATTGCTTCTTTTTTTTGAATTTCATGCATTGTATTGATAATATTCTCGTGTATTGAAATAAACGTCTTTTAAAATAAGTCATGTTCTTTGAATGAGACTACAAAAAAAACAACAAAAAAAAAAACAAAACAAGAGTCGAGGTCACTCTCCCTCCCTACAGAGCGAGAGATAGAATGTAAGTATGTTCTTTGGGCTTGCGTGCTTGGATGTCAAGGGGTATTCAAAGTTTAAGCAGTAAGATTATCATGTGAACTGAAATGTTTTTCGTTAATATATGTCAATCAGATATCACCTTATTAGCGAAGTCCGAATTTTGCGAAAATAATAAATATTGTTTCATACATTGCCAATATTTAGAGTCACTTGCAGTCACAAGATAAGCTCCTTAGGACGCTGGTTGCAACCTGGAGTTACAGGTTTTATATTTCACCAACATCTAATCGGGTAATAATAATAATCATAATATTATTTATTTCCAAAAAATTACATTGATAGTGTACAACAGATGTTTCTATTAACATAAAAAATTAGAACAACAATAACCATCACCATAAAAACAACAAAACAAGAATAAAGAATACTAATTTTGCTTTACTACATTAAGAAACAACATGAACATTATATTTAATTAAGAAATTAATATCAGTACTCAACAGGAAAAAATTAATCTAAATCATGAAATTATTATCTAAAATAACAAATTGTAAATTAATTAAACAAGATGGCAGTTGTCCACAATAAAAAAATGTAAGTTAAGTTATTTTTAATTAACATATTGAAAATTTGTAGTAACAAATAAACAAGCAAAACGAAATCATATTATTAATTAAATTAACAAATCAAGAAAACTAATAGAAATTATAAGCCAAATAGAAAGTAACATGAATTAAATTGTCAAATTATCTACATTACACACTGGGTATTGAGCAAGTTAGAGCCATAAAATATTATTAGAAAATTAATTATACATTTATAAATTAATAAATATTAAATAAACACACACAATAACAAAAATTAGTCTATAAGTGTACAATTAACAATTGACATAATTACTAATTGAAAAATTGCAATCAAATTATTATCTAAAAATATAAATAAACAAATAAAAAATCAATACAACTGAATGAGAGTAGGCAAGTCAAAAGTGGGAATTAAAGAACAACAGGAAATTATACATTATTAACAACTGTTATCTTGTGATAACAGAAGTTAACAGTACAAATGAAGATTTAGTTGCACATAATTAACAAAATAAAGTCTTGTAATGACAGTACTCAATAGGCAAAAAGAAATCAAAATCATCAAATTAATATCTAAACTAACAAACAGATTGTAAATAAATGAAACAAGATGGAAGTTGACAACAGGCAAAAAAACGAATTAAGTTATACATAATTAACGTATTAAAAACTTGTAGTGACAAATCAAAAAGCAGAAAGAAATCAAATAATCTAAATTAACAAATAAATTATTAATAAAACAAAATTACAATAAGCAATAAGCTAAAGAGATAACACTTGAGCTTTCTATTTGTAAGTCGTGCCTAGTATCTTGTATACCTTTTTTCAACATCCTTTTAGACGTAACTTCTAATATTACATCCGGAATTGAAATGAGCTGTTTTGGAATGGTTATATTAAGCATACTTTCTCTTATAATTTATTTAAAGTCTCTGGAAGTATAAAATTGTGTCTCTTTCTAGTTTCATAGCTGTGCCCACTTATTTTTCAGTATTCTTCGTCTTTGTAGAATTTGAAAATCATGCATTTTTTTAACAGACATGATTCAATACTCTGCTTTACTGCCATCCAGGGTTAGATTTGTAATGCTAATTTTTTCCATTGAGGATTTTAATCCATTTATTCTGTTGGTTCTGTGTAATATCTACATTAGCTTTAGATGGAGCCTCCCCCCCCACGCTCCAATTCCATACCTGATCAAAGACTCTATTAATGAAAAGTAGACTAATTTGAAAATTGTACACTATACAAAAGCTTTATTTCTTATTAGTTTCCAAATACACGTTATTATTTTCTTGCTTAATTCCAAAATCTTATCCCTCCAGCTCAGATTTTGATCAAAAGTTACTTCTAAATACTTCAATTTGCTTACAGAATTAATTATGCTATTACACTGACAGTTCTTAAAATCTTTGTGTATGCAGTCAGCTTTGTGAAATAATATTTTAGCTTGTACTCTTGAAGCTTTATGAGCCCTGATATGCAATTTTTTAGTCTTTTTCTCATTTATAATTAGACCTTTATCATTGCACCATTTTTAGAATATTTTAAAATTCCTATTTTCACAGTTTTTAATTCACTTTAAGTGTTAACTATTTTGACCCTAAATGATCTTCCTCCTATGTGTAGTTTTTTATATAACTGTAAATCCTGCAACTAACTCCTATACTTTCCAGTGCATCTAACATATTTTTACTACTACTACTACTAATAATAATAATACTAATAATAACTATTATTTCGACGTAAATAATAAACTGTCGCTGGCATATTATTATAATTATCACTGTCATCATCATTATCAGTATCATCATCATCTTCACCATTGTCGTAATCACCACATACTATGAAAAGGGCTTGGTACATGTTTACGAAAACCTCAGAAAGGTTAATAGATATATAGCACCGGACTAGTGTCTTACAATCGGTTAACTCTGCAAATTCAATAGAAGACTTCATTATTGCTCACTAGAATCCATTTCATCTGACAAAAATGTTCGTAAATAGATCTTCAACGATGAAAATTAGAACAATGACAAATGCATGATTGACCGATATTTCCTCAGGGAAAGTATATATTAAATATGAGGCTGTATTATAGGTGTATGACCAGATTTTCTCGAAAACCTACAATTTCTATTATTTCTCAGTCTTTTTAGACACTTTCTTTATGTTGATTCCAGTTTACTCATCGATACAACTTGTCAACAATTTCTGTTCCTCGCCCCTTCTCCCTCTATCCATCTCACTCCTTCTCTACTAATCTCTCATCCTCTACCCCGTCTCTGAATATCCACCCAATTCTCTCTCCTCCTCTACCCAACTCTTTCCCTCTATCCATATGTCACTCTCTTCCTCCACCTATGTCTTACTTTCTCCATCTACACATCTCTCACTCTTTTCCTCTCTAGCCATCTCACACTTATTTCCTTTTACCCATCTCTCTCTCTTTCCTTTTACCCAACTCTCATTCTCTTTCCTTCTACCCAACTCTCATTCTCTTTCCTTCTACCCAACTCACATTCTCTTTTCTTCTACCCAACTCTCATTCTCTTTTCTTCTACCCAACTCTCCCTCTCTCTCTCTCTCTCCCTCTACCCATCTGTCTGTCTCCCCCTCTTACCAACTCCCACTCTCCGTCTCTAAACATCTCCCTCTACTCGTCTCCCACTCTCTCTATCTCCCTCTACCCATCCTTCTCTCTTACCCATTTTCGCCCTCTATCCATCTCTTTCTCTCAAACCATCTCTCCCAATTCTTTCCCCCTTCTCTCTTCCTCTTACTATATCCGTTCTATCCATCTCTTTCCCTTAAATCATCTCTCTCCCATCTTTCCCCCTTCCCTCTCCCTCTATCCATCTCTTTCCCTCTACCCGCCTCTCTGTCTCTCCCACCTCTTTGACTCCCTCTACCCGCCTCTCTTCTCTCTCTCTCTCTCTCCTCTCTCTCTCTCTCTCTCTTCTCATCTGTGTCTCTCTCCCGCTCAGCTTGTTTCTCCGGTAGTTCTCCATCTTGGCGTGGATCCTCCCCGCGCGACGGGGAAGCGTTCGCCGTAACGGAATTTACGCGGCGTCGGAGTGACTTTGCCCTGAGCCAGCGCAGCACCTCGGGGGCGCGTCGGAGCGCGCCAGGAGGCGCCGTCGGCGACGTC